TGGAGGTGCGTGCGGGGAACTCGGTCAGGGGTCTCCAGGTCACCCAGACGCAAACAGCTGTCTGTAAAGTTACATTACGTTGAGGCAGCGGGCATTGGACTAGGGAGGGACGACAGCATTGTTGGCTGTCCGCCACAAAGCCCAGACACGCATGTTTCGTCAGTATTCTGCCATTGGCGACCCACCTGCGAAGGATCCGGCTCATTAGTGCATTCTCCAGCACTATCTGTTGGCTTTTTGACAGACACCAGTTTTGAAGTTTCAGCCTTTTTAATTTCATCAGAATTTTTAATTTATAACTGGAAGTAGATCAGCATATTCAAAGGACCTACATGTGTCGATCGGCATTTTATATGAGTGTTTGGGCCAAAGTCCATCAGCCACTGCTGGATACTTGCGTAACATTCGCAAGCAGCCAACATGCAGTCTGTAATATGATTTCTGATGAGTTAATAAGTTAATAGGAAAACCCTTGCTGCTGCGATCTTAAGGCCCAGCTGCCTATGGAAAGGGAAGGGGTGAGACGCCAGGTGGGAGAAAAGTGCATCATTTAGAAATAGGTACTGATTGCCGGAGGGTCCCCAGTCATCAGTTCACTGTCTGCGTCGGTCAGCCTCCTCATGTGGGGAGAATTGAGCCACGTTAATTGACATGGTGTGTTAGAAATTCCTCCTATTCCCACGACGAGTCGGTCTTACAGAACAGCACTTGCGCACGCCTCCCACGCTGCATGCCATTAACGTGCGTTCGACGGCTGCTTCTCTCAATCCCTCCCCCCCCCGCCCTGCTTGCAGTTCAGCAAGAAGTCTTCCGCTCTAGAATAATTAGTCCTTTTCGTGACCTAATGACCCATTCTGCCCCGTTTATGAAACCGATTCATGTTTATGTGTGCGTGTGCAGTGTAATCTCTTTTTATTCGGACTGAAATGCTAGGCTGCAGGACGGTCTGCTGGCCAAGGTGGACCAACACGAGGAGTGCGTGTATGCCGTGGACTGGAGCCCTGTGGATACCTGGGTGTTTGCCTCTGTCAACTACGATGGTACCTTCCTAGTCAATCGTGTGCCCGACTCCATCAAGCTCGGAATCCTGCTGCATGAAGAGGACGAGGAGGAATTGGAGGAGTAGCTGCTGCCCGCGCGACTCTTGCTGTGACCCCATTTTTCTACTATATTTCCTCTTCTTCTACCCCACATTTTCTCTTCTAACCCGCACTTTATATGTTGTATTTTCCCTTCCTCTGTGATACGGCTTTAAAATTAAATTCAAATAATGCTACTTTTCGGAGACTGTAACACGTTAGGGTGGTAGTGGTTTCCCAGTGGGTAAATTCCCTCGTTCAAGCGAGGATTCTGGAGTTATTATGTACAACATGTAATATCCCTCTGAACTGGCCGTTGACCTTCACCTCCTTCTATTCGAGACCGGACCTGACGTTCGTGGCGGCTATGGTCTCTACGATTTAAGCTGGCGCGGCACGCGAGAAAGTTTTTCCAATTAGGAATAGTAACTGATCAAAATAACTGGCTTGCTGCATTACGTTGTCGCCCAAATTGGAGGCGATGAAGAAAACTTAGTCAATTCAGCTTTTTAATCTCCAGAGAAATTAATTTCTTTTCACGGTATGTATCGGTATATTTAAGATCTATAGGCGTAGACCGAAATCGCAAGCGTATATTTGGGTTGAAGCCCGTCAACCACTGCGAAATATCCACTTGCTGCCGACAGACGGACTTTAGTAGTATAAATTGGTTCTGTAACTTACCATACTAACAGCCCAGGTGCTAGCTAAAAGGCCCAGACACGTGTTCTGCCGCTGCTTAGGCAACTGCGAGGGGTCCGGCTCATCAGTGCCCCCACCTTTCCCTGTCTGCATTCTGGGTGATATACCGGTTTTGAAATTTCAGCTTTTTAATTTCCTAAAATGTGTCTGTCGGCAGCAAGAGGTTGACGGGCTTCAACCCAAATATACACTTACAATTTCGGTCTACCCCTATAGACCTTAAATATATCGATATAAACCGCGAACAGAAATTAATTTTTCAGGAGATTAAAAAGCTGACATTTCAAAACCGGTATATAAACCAGAAAGCAGAAAGGGAAAAACTGGGGGACACACTGATGAGCCGGACCCGTCGCAGCGGCAGAATACCGGCGAAACGCGTGTCTGGACCTTTTAGCTAGTACCTAGGTTGTTAGTATGGTAAGTTACGACATCAACTTCGTCAATTTTAAATATAACAAGCACAGAGGAACGTTAACGCCAAAGGAAAGGGAGACTGGAATGGC